GACACTTCTTAATGCTCGACTAAAAAAAAACTTGCCTAACTTTGAATGAAACCAGATTAAACTTTCTGAGTCAACGCAAAAGAAAATCTGAATTAAAGTAACTGGATGCAAATACACAAGTTATTACGGGCGTGTGGCGGCAAATTTAAATTATTGCAGTTAACAAGAGAACCAAATTTTAATAAATCTCTATGCAGCACAGCGACAGCCGGGTGTTGTAAAACGAGCGGAGTTTGGGGCCCCTGGTTGTGGCTGTTCTTCCCCCACCACGGTGATTCTATTCTACTATTCTATCGGCAAGCACTGCCTCGCAGCACCCCTATATCACGAAGAAACTTGCCGCGCGAGTAGGCCGTTACGGTCGCAAACTCGTGGTTGCAAATCACGGCTATAAATAAGCTGACAGCGTCACGTCATCCCGACCGCCTCTGACTTCCATTCTATCCTGCATCCTTTGTGCAGATGGCGCGACCGCCAGCTCGTCAAGGAACCGCGCACTCCGCTTCCGCTACGTGTTATTGTGTTATTTACCTCAATTCCATTTAAATGTTCAATTTCTATAACTCTGATATTAAACTACAATGGAACAAGTGTCAAAGTTTCAAAAAGAGCAATAGACAACATTTAAATTCACTAAACATTCTCGTGAAATTTAAAACAGCAAAGAAATCTTATCCGAGATTAAGATTAGACGTCAGACGATTTATATGATGGAAGCATTAATCAACAAAATATTTACATAGAAAAAAAACTTGCAAAGATTTATAAAAACAGAAAGATCTGATGAAATAAAACAGACAAAAAAAAAATACGTGAGGTTACAAACTGCAGAGCATGGAAATTTCCGTTCAATTTAAATTATACAGCAAAGGAAATTACTGATGCCAAAATTGTGAGATAAAGAAAAATTGCATGAGGTGAAAAATTGCAAAGCTAACAAAATTACATATCAATGATTCACATGATGCTAAATTATGCCATTATCCAAGTGATTGGTTACTTAAAACAATTAGCTTTGAGAGTTTAAATCGTGGACTATCCCCAGCTTATCCCAAACAAACACATGGTAAATAAACACAAAATGCATCCAGCGTCGCGAGAAAAAAATGTCTCGGTGGTGTAATTTTCAACGTTGCGAGAAAAATGTCTCAGTGATGTGATGATGATTACGGTGATAACTGCCTAAGGGAAAAATCTAATGCCTCCGTACCTCAGTCGACGATATTATGAATTCTACCGCACTTTCACGGTCCAACGTTAGGTTAATTTAACTGCAGTAAATAAACTAGCAAATCTTGTGTGAGGATTTAAGAAGTGTTATAATGTAACACTTAAGTATAAGCATCCAGAAACGTTATATATAACTTGATAAACAAAGGATGAGTCCTGACTAAGTGAATTTCATAAAATCTTCTAGCAAGTACTTTATCTGAACAAATCTTATAACTGTTAAATTATGTTCGAACCAGCAACGGTTAAAATCCTAACATGAACTGTGAATTTAAGAACAATGAATCAACATTACACCACGTGTTAGTGTCGGTCGAAAATCCGCATGTTTCCGTTTAGAAAAATGTTAAACAAAGATTTTCCCTTTTTTATTAATTGCCAACAAACTAAACCTAACTTAGCGAACTCACCACATGGTTTCAAATCAACTTCTACCAACCCTCTCAACAGAAATTCCCTAGGAGAGCTACCAACTACCCAAAAAGCGCTAAACGTTGACATGGTTGCCTATGTGTAACGATTGAATTTTTTTTTTCAAATTCCAATTATTCAAATGCGATTTCGCGCCGTTGTTTTTTTTTCAGCGCGAAATTTCAATTCAAATATGGTCACCACACTGTATATTTATAATTTCATTTAACTGATACCACAACAAAGCGCATAGTTTTCTTTACTTTTCCAAAAATATTGTAACACAGATTTTAAAAATAATTCTATTGTGAACCCTTCCTTTGCCAAAAAATTTAAAGGAAATTGGAATAACGTGGCAACGTTACATTGGTATTAAAAAAATAAACTGTACTTTTAAAGTCTAGAGAGAAGCTGATGTGAATATATAAAAATATATAGGGTATTTCATCTAAAAAACTAAGTGTCTTATACTTTAAAAATAATTTTATAGAACCGTACACCTTTCTTTTGTGACCTTTTTTCTATCTCTAATAAATTAATGAGATGTTGAGGTCAGTGCTCTTATTAGTGACTCACCCTGTATATAATTCCCAACTTCCATTTTCAAAAATGGCAATTTTCTGAATTTTCACTCGTTGAACTTTTTTTTTAAATGCAAATATTTCAAAAAAGTTAAAAATCTTATGCCCCATTATTTTGTTGCTTTTTCAAAAAGAGTAAAAGTCTATAAAAATGTGTTAGATATTTAAAAACCAACAGCTCCGGTGTGCAATGTTTAAATGGAATATTTGCATATTTAAAAATAATTGTATATTTAAATTAGTTTTCAAAAAATGTTTCGAATCAAAGGGAAATGATAGAGATGGCAGTAAATCATAAGAAGTATCAGCGTCTGCACTACTTCATCTAAAATGTTATCGTCCAAGTTAAATTAGTATACGAAAATAATCGTATGTTATGTTTTCTGAAAATATGAACACCTAACCTTTTAATTTATCAACCACAAGTAAACCTTCAACAAAATTTATGATGTGACAGATAAGCTGTAAGTTCCATAAATTGTCATCACTAATTCTGAGAAAGTAGCTGCTTATTTATATTTCCTACATATAAAAGACTACACTGACCACTGTTTTCAGCGTACATTAACCACATTATTAGTTAAGGCAGATACCTTAAATATATATAAATAGGGTTAGACTACTATTTATCAATCAATTTCAGTTTATTTTATCGTACAGACTAAAATAATTACGGAATTACAATAAAAAAAAAATTAAATTTGTTACAAGTTTTTAGCACAAAGTCCCTATTTCCAGGGATAAAAACGCGCTGTAAATCTAATGCACTCTGAATCCAAATAAATATTCGAATTTGTAATGATAGAACAGTCACAAGCACTGCAAAGAACACTGAAACATCTACTTATATTTATTTCTTAAGCAACGTAATTGTAATAATTATATGCAATTGCTGAAACGGTGTTAAAAGTTTAATAATCCCATTGCAAACGGTAACTTCAATTATTAGTAGTAAATAACACTGTGCCACGAAGCTTGATTAGAAATACCACAATAGGAATACCAGATACATGAAAAAAATTACATTTGTGTTACCAGCACGATTGCAGCCGGTTTCCCCTACCAGCCAGTCGCAGCACCCAGAAGTATATTACTGGTTGCGTTACCAAACTTTACAATTCAAATAACCGATGTTCCAATCGAGTTAAAATTTATAAGATGTGTGGTCCACTTGTTCATCATTAATTATTGAAAACTCAATGCAAATTCTTGCTAATTAAGCATTTGGCAATTCCCCGTGAACAAGATCTGTCAAATTCGACCACGATAAATAACGACTGTGATAAAAAATTAATTCAATTTCTCGTCGATAAGGTCAATTGCTGTGTAACATGCAACTTTGCTTAAATCAATAATTTAATCCACAAAATTATGTGCTGATTCGCACACTAAACAGCGAATCTGTCAAGACTTTCCTGTGTCACACGGTTGTTGTAATTAATTATAAATTGCGACTGCGGTATGCAGAGTAATCACGGTTCGCAGGGTATAATTTGATTTATTCGATCTAAAATAATTTTAATTCAGTTTCTTAACAAAAGTGGTGTCCTTCATAATAGTTCAATTGTAGCCTAAGAGGTTACACGTACATCTTCTGGTATTTTGAATCGTGCTAGAATGTTTTTCACTACAATAAATATCACGATTAGAATTATTCAAAAGAAATATTTTAATAAATAACGGCAAAGTTTAATGGTATATTAAATTACACAATGGTAATAAATAAGCCATGAATATTTAGGAAGTCAAAATTAATGATGTCGAGCCTCGATGTCAATGGAGTGAATGTCAAATTTAGTTACCGTTTTCGCTGTGTGGTAGCAGAAATAAAAAATTACACTTAATTAAGTAATTTGCATCACTTGAATTAATGAAATAGTACACATGTAAATTAATACGCGGTAATATAAGGTTACAACTACCACTCTTGAGGTGTTTAATTATAATAAGATCCGTGTAACATAGATTGTTGAGTCAGCGGTACCAAATCAATTTTCATGTTTTATAGTTTGAACAGTTATGATCACATATAGAAAGTGACACGTAATTATACTATTGCAAATTTCACAATTGTAGATATTTTTAAACAGACAAGTCTAAATTCGTGATGTAATTGAATTCGACGATTCCCAACAGTGTGGGATCCTCTTTTCCTGTTCATTGTGTAATTGTGTAAATATAAAATCAGCTCCTAACATTTTTGTGGTTGCTGCAGCACAGAAATGTAAAGAAGACTAAACCGACAACATTCTAACCTATTAAATGTCAGAAGCTAACATTTGTATTCTTCAGTGCCTAAAGGTTCCTTACGATTATTCATTTTAGCACCATATAAGTAAATCATTTTCTACTCTCATATTAACGACATTATTATGCAAATTGTAAAGAGATATAACTCTGTTTACGTTTTTATTACATTTTTGTGCATTTTTACGCCATTTAAAACCCGCCGTACAGGACATTATGCTAATCAATTAGTTCTTCAATGCAACGAAGAGATTAATAATGCATGCACGAGGATCCGACTAAAACTTTTATATAACCGCCGTTTTATCCTTGCTGGTAATTTATTACAATTACCTTTGAGATTCAGCCGAACCAAACCAATGACATTTCATGGCAAAAATCTCGATTCGGTTCTTGTTAATCGCACCGTCTTCACACCGCAAGATTTAGACTTTTCACGGGTCACTTAACGTGCATTGTCGTGTCTATTGCTCAAGCATCTTCGCCCATTTACAACAAAGGTATAAATATCATGGAAGAGAATGTCATTATCATACTGCAACTGCATCTGCAGCGCAATGCATCCAGTACGTGAGTCACAGCCCTGTAGCCTCCTTTACACTCTTATTTTCGCAGGTCATCACACTCCTCTTTGTTTCGACTGCTGCAGCAGCCCAGTTGACCGGAAACGAGAAGATACCCATTATCTCCCAAGATCAAGAAGTTAATTTCGATGGGTCTTACCGCCTGTCTTACGAAACCGGTAATGGTATAGCCGCTCAAGAACAAGGCGTCTTGAAAAATGCGGGGAATCCTGATGCTGAAGTCGAAGAAGTTCAAGGTTCTTTCCAGTATACCGCGCCAGATGGCTCTCCGGTAGCGCTGCAGTATGTGGCCAATGAGAATGGGTTTCAGCCACAGGGGTCACATTTGCCTGTGGCGCCAACGCCGCCACCAATTCCGCCCGCGATTCAGAAGGCTTTAGAGTGGATTGCTGCTCATCCAGAGCCGCCAGAGAGCTCGAGGAGGTTCTAAGTTTTAAGTTTAGGTGATGTTCTGTAATTTTTGTTTTTATTGCTGTTGTTGCCTGCGATATGACATGTAATATAGTGCCATTATAAATAAATATAATCTGCATGTACGAAAATTTTTTGTTAGATTTTTACTGAAGAATCTGAAAGTGAAAGATATCCTTACAGGCCAAATACGTATCCTTATTTTATAAAAATAATATAACTTTTTTTGAATTTTAATGGCATTCATTTAATGCATGGTATTATTTTACCATTTTTACAGACGTACAGAGATCTGATGACAAGGATCCAGTTTGCTCACAATTTTTGCATCATCCGTATTATTTTCTCAATTTATCGACTTTTGCTTTAAGCAGCTTATGGTTTCCATAAACCTTGACAAGATGCAAAAGTCGTTTACCTTTAATTAATTGATGGTACTTTTTACAAAATGAAAAATATCTATAATCCTAAATTATTGAGAAAATCAATGAATATATGCATATATATTTTTTTCCTTCCTTTCTCTGCTTATAAAATGTGATGACAGTGAAAGACAATTTTTCTAATAGTAAATGCAACACCATCGGCAAATTTTGAGTCGTTGCAAAATTGATTACTTCATATATCATGCTACCAAACCAAGTATTGTCCTTTCCCCTAATTAAAAGTGAAATTTAAATAAACTATAAATTCCTAACAACAATTAATGACTAACTGCCAGAATTAATTTCCTGATTAGGTTAGGTCTGTCGATCTGAAATGGTTGCTCCAGGGTGAATTTGGTATTAAATATGGCGCCAAATTGACACAACTTTATAAAGAAACATAATTTGAAGAAAGATAGTGAATGTCTGCAATGCATTAATGGATAATATGTGAGAACTGACATACCTTTGTTATATTTGTGACATTTATCCCCAGCAAAAATTTGATGACATCATTGCAAGAAGTTTTAGTAAACATTCGTAATTAATATCCCGCTGTTCTGGGATAGTGATGCTACTTAAATAACTTTGGACATTTCTTTAATATCAGTGTGTCAAAATATAAGATTACTCTTTAAAAAAATGACACAAATTTCTTTATTAGATATAACTAATGGGAAAAAATTGACAGTGGTGGTCTTCTAGTGACTTTGTGCAATAAAATGAGAACACATACTATGAATTAAATAGAAAGTGTATGACAAAGATTAAAAAAAACTGATCCTGACCTGAAGTAAAAATTGAAGTACAGTCCGACAAATTCGGCTTGTTTAAAAATTATGAATTTAATTTTGCGCACAAGTGTGGACAATATGAAATATATTTAAGGCAGATAATCAACAGGACAAATGTAGATATTCTCAATTTCCCAGTACAAGCTTAACTTCAACTGTTTATATCTATACTTCCAAAATGAATTTTAATTAATGTTGTCTCCTGAACGCAGAGGAGAGGACTGATTAATTAATTAACCATGCTCAGTTTTCCCAGAGACACTCATAAATTTGAAAAACATTTATCCGGAAAAATTTAAGGCACCAGAAAAATTTTGATTAACGATTTACCAAGCTTCTAACAACTTTGCAAAATTTCATACCATTCGGTTTTTGCAAGTTCAAAGTTAAATTGCAAAATACTTTTCTATAATTTTTGATTTTCTTCCGAAAACTCTGGATGCCAATGATAAAATTTCAACACGTATTCAGAAATCACACATGTAGGAGCATGTTGTTTTTAAAACGTTTGCAAGATTTCAAGACATTCGGTTTTGCAGTTTCAAATTTAAACTGCAAAATGTTTTGACTTTTTTCCCAAAAATCTAGATATCTAGTGTAAAAACTCAACACGGATTCATAAACCGCAGCTACTGGAATATGTTATTTTATAGAATTTAAATAGCAATATTTACTAATGTAAATTTTGGAGATGACGTCATCCTATTGTTGGTGAGGATAATCAGCTAAACACACACAGACAAACGGAACGGGAAACCTATTTTTTCGTACTCTAGGGGTCATAAATCGTCCAGTTTTTTAACTTCAATGGCTTTCTTTAAGCATATTTTTTAATAATTTTAAATGCATATGAGTCCATAAGAATGAAATATGTAACTTTTTAGATCTTTTTGAATATATAGATATATGAAACACAAAAAGGATAGTTTTTAGTTACATTAAAAAGTGGTGCTATAATGCTAATAAATAGATCTTAACAATTTTGTATGAAAGATATAACAAACAGAAAATTTGGCGGCGTAATGTTAAAAAAAAAAGGTTCGGGGAGTATTATTATCATTGCAATAGTTTTTGTTTTTTTTTTATGAAAAATATTGTGTGTTTTTGTCTTAGATAAAAAATTATTGAAACCTATACATTTTAGTATTGACTCTCTTAAAAATGTACACAGTAAAAAAATTACCCAAGGCTACTTAAGCAGAACTTTTAGAATAAAAATTTTATTAGAACTAAAGAAGCATGCTATGGTATGCTTCAAGTGAGTTTTCTATAACAAAATTTTGTGAAAACATCATCAACATTTTATCAAGGACACGCATATTCAATCTGTATTTTATTTCCAAACTTTCGAGAAAATGTAGTGTACCGTGGTGGATTTAATCAAAAAAATTCGCCGGGAATCGAACTGTGGACCTTTCATCTCTAAATCAGGACATAACTCCACAACTCTGTGGGTCAGATTTACGCAGCTACGTTTTATGTGAAGACGAAGAAGAATGTTTAAACAATAACAATTATAATAATAATCAAAATCAAGTGGGATTCATAAACCGCAACTACAAGAGTATCATAATTTATAAAATTTCAATTACTAGGCAAAATTTTAAGTTGATGTCATCGCATTATTGGTGGGAATATCAGTCACCTTTTTGATTAGCGTTTTAACATTACACGATATACCTAAAACCTAAAACATATAAAATTTAACAATAATCGGTCCGATAGTTTCGAGATTACCTGTCTAATAAAAATCGACACAGACAGGCGACGGACGGCAGGCAAACAGATAAAAACGGGAGACTTATTGTTTCGTATTCTAGGGATAATGGTCTCCAGAAAATATAAAAACAGCCAGTCGTCGAATGGACCCTATTACAATACTGTCTTAGCTTACGCTCGGGAAGTAAAAACAAATGTTACCACATATAGTTTTTTTTCTTATATTTCTAGATAAGAAAATAAAATGAGAAATAACTGATTTCAGTTTTTACGTAAAAAGAACGAATTTTTATGACAGTATTTATCGTTACTTCTAAAAAATCGTCATTAATGCTCAAATAATGCAAACATTTATATATTTAAGAATAAAACAAAAAATTGTTAAAAAAAAGTGTTAAAAAAAATGTTTAAAATTTGCTGGATTTACACCAAAGTGGAACTCATTTTGTTCATTTTTTTTTAACAGACAGATTAAAAAAATTGGGCTATTGAGTGGGTGTAAATTGCTTTAAATACAAAACTATAAACCTTGAGTCAACCACACGCAAAAGGTACACCGTTTGTTCTGCAAGATGACGATGCTATATTACAGCAATCTAACTTTAATTACATAATAGTTGCATATTATCGATGAACATATACTGTTATGTATACCTATATAAGCATAAAAAATTTCTTAAGATATAGAAAATGAGATATATTTTCCGTTCATAAACATACTCCTATACTTTTTTTTAAACTTTATCAGCTTTTGAATGGGATAAAAATATTAATCTCGATGTTAACAACACCGGTCATAACGGCACTGTTTTGGCAGCTTTAGAGAAATTACATAAGCCATTGTAAAACAATAAATAAATCTAGTCATACAAGGCATTATTACTAACCAGTGTTATTAATAAAATCATTTCATGGCTAGTTGCCTAATTATGTTTTTTTTATCTCATTCACACGCCATGTGGTTTATGTGAGTAAAGTATTAATTATCACCTCATTATTTTTTGGACTCTTTTTGATAAATACCTAAATAATTTTTGTTTTTTGGACATCCTGTGTGAAAAGTGGTCTAAAAACAAGTCCGATTATTTCTTAAAAAAATTGTAAAAGTTGATTCTGCAACAAAATTTATTTTTTAAGACAATTCCAAATAAAAGATTGTGAATAGGATTTATTTAACAAAATTTTGAGATGACGTCACTTGCAGAATTTCAGAGCGACCGGTAGTAGCAAAAAGTAGTTTCTAATATCAATCACAAAATTTTATTGTAAATTTTCTATTGCTAATTTTAAATAGAATTAATAAAAAAATTTGGGATGATGTAATTCAACACAAAGAAATTTTGATTATCGTTCAACAAATAAACTGAAACGGAAACCGATATTTTGGCATTGCCCAGGCCGTAAAACATGGGAGAAACATGAAATTATCTATTCGTCAAATGTCAAATCGATTCTAAAAGACATATATTAAGCAATTTTTATGGTGAGGTCATCAATTGAGAATTAATTAATATTCTGTGATTATTAGATCAAAATCTAAGACAACGAGAATCATGATTTATGAAAAATTTTATTGTAGGGTTGTGTTAAGATAATGTATTACGATTGCATTTTTAATTGTTAAAATTAATACAAATTATATTTCTCGATTTTATGGCAATTTGTCTGGAATGAGCAGGTATTCAATAACACCATTTCGCCATTAGTGCATCATTATTAATTATTGCAGAAACAACTTAATTTTGCCGCATATCGTGCATGTACCTAAAGTATAACGTTATCTAACCTAGATGTTAAAACATTATTAAACAACTTTATTCTCATTAAAGAAAATACCACAAGATTAACCTTTTTTAAATGAAGAAATGTAAGGAATTGCTCCTCCTATGTCGTCACACCCACGACTGTACCGCTTCGTGGTCGTATGATAATTGAGATGAAGACCTTTTGCAGACTAAACCAAAGATAATTAGAGAGTGCGCAACGACTTAATCTAATTTATTGCGTGAATTACCACCAGGAACAAGCTCCTCATCCGATTTTTCAAAAAACCCGAATTTCCAGAATAATCGAATTTTAATAGGCCACTCTCGTGCGCCGCCACGAGAAAAAGTACAGAATCGTCCTGCAGTCGGCCTTCAATTTTAAGAAGACCCAACCTTGACAAGTGGTAAACAAGAGCTTCTTTTTTTACTTGGGTTGCAACACAGTTTCGACCACGAGCAGGTCCGTAGTATAAATATGAGAGAAGATGTCCATTGATGTCACACCGAATCAATAACTCACTGATACCACTCACACCATGAAAATCGTAAGACAATTTCTCTTAAGTCAACATTTGTGTTCTTATCTAACCTAACTCTTGCAGATTGTTGCTTTGGCCGTTTTGGTCGTCGCTGTGTCAGCGCAGCGCGGCTCCTCGGAGAAAGACGCCCCCATCCTCAAGCAGGAGCAAGAAGTCAACTTCGACGGCAGCTACACCTCTCAGTACGAGACTGGAAACGGGATTGCGGCGCAGGAGCAGGGACAGCTGAAGAATGCCGGCTCTGAAGCTGAAGCTGAAGAAGTACAAGGGTCCTTCCAGTACACCGCTCCCGATGGCACCCCAATTCTTCTGCAGTATGTAGCCAACGAAAATGGATTCCAGCCCCAGGGTGCTCATTTGCCGGTTGCTCCCACTCCACCACCAATCCCACAGGCCATCCAGAGGGCTCTGGCTTGGATCGCTGCCCACCCACAACCACCAGAACCACAAGGAACAAGGAGATTCTAGTTGTTAAGAGTTGTTGATTCAGTCAAATTTTTGTAAATATAAATAAGTATCTTGTAACTATATAATTATAGTAGCAATAAAATGGCAGTGTCTATAATGTTATTTGTTTAAAATCAATATATTGTTAAAGAGCAAAGCATAAACCCTATAAAAAATAATGATGTAAAAATTTGGTGTATAGGTTTAGCACTAAGAATTTTATTCGCACAATCAGCTAAAAATATAGTTATATTATATTTTAACTGTTTTTATATGTTACCTATTCGTTAAGTAAAAACGGATTTTACAATATTTACAATTAACATCTACAAGAAAATAAAAAATATAGGTATTATAGTCAATTTTTAACATCAGTGCTTACAAAAATGCCTATTAAAAATAGGTCGGCATTTTTTTCCAAAGCATTTTTAGTAGATGTAATATATATTACAATAGAAGCCAATTTTAAATCCATGTTTTATACATGTATAAGATATACACAGTGCTCAAAAAATACTAAACTAACTCAACGGTACATAGTTCACAAATCTAAGTGTAAACTAAAAATATTAAATTAAAATATGGTCAAATATGGAAATATTATATATCGTCAACAATCGGATAGTGCGGCACTTTTTGAACATCCCGTATAAATATGGCTAAGGCTATATTTGTCGCTTTTTTATATATATTTCAAAATAAGGCTACAGTTTTTTCTCTGTTGCTCAAGTATTTCAACTTATCACTACAGATAATAGGTAGTTCTCACATAATTTAAAACTATACAGGGTGAGTCGAGCAATAAAGTTAAACGGTTCTTTGATGACCATATAATAAAACTATTTTCAACCATACAGAATGTTGTGTTTTTAGTGTGTAATACACAACTTGGTTTTTCAAATGGAACATCTTATATATTTTTACATATTCTGATTAATATCTTCTTAAGATTTATAAGAACAGTTTATTTTTTTAATTCTAGTGCGACGTTGTCACCTTATTTCAATTTTCTTGAAATTTTTGAGCAATTGAAGGGTTCACAGAAAAATTGCTACAGGGTAAATTTTACAATTTGTTTTACAATATTATGTGGAGAGAAATAAAGGCACCTGTTTTGTTGTGGTGCAAATATATGTACAGGGTGTTCAAAAAATTGAGCACCAAATCTTTGACACGTTGTTCAAGACCCTTTGAGAAGAGAGGAAAAACAGCTTAAAAAATACTTTGTGTCCAAATGTAAAAGATTTACCTCTTCAAAGTTAACCTCTTTTTTCAAATTTAAATTCACTATTATTTTGTGCTGGGTACCTGAAATCGGTCGGACTTGATTTATTCAAAATAAGTTTTCGGGATACCTTGTTTTCATCCATCGTATTCTAGTATGTTGGTGTATACTGAAATAAAGAATAAAAAAATAGAGTAGTTAACATGCAGTTTTATCATACAGCGTTCTATTTGAAAATACTGAAATTCAATAATATTAAATATATTAAAATTTGATTACATTGCCACCACACTAAAGCGCGTATCTATGTTTATTTATCCAAAAAATATTGTAAAACAAATCTTAAACCTAATATTATTTCGATTTTTTATGAACCTTTCCACCGTAAAAAATCACGAAAATTATATTAACATGGCAACGTCGCATCTGAACTTCAAAAATTTACTGTGGCTATAAGGAAAAGACAAATGAAAATATATACAAGAGAGACAAAAATGTTTTGATCAACGGTTTTCAGCAGATTTGCAGAAAAATTTTTAGTTGCCTGGAATAGAAAATTGGGGACTATTTCCATTTACTTATTTATACAGTGTGATGATATTGGTAAACTCTGTGTTTTTTGTAATTTCAAAAGAAATATAGCTATTTTATAACATTTTCGTTTTTATTTATAAGCAGACTTCCTTTTGGTTCCCAAATTTGTCCAGGTTTATCCTAATAAAATGTTATTTGATTTATCGTTAACATAAAACAAACAAAATTGATGTCCAAAGAAAGTTTACGTAGAGATAAAATAAAAAAATGTTATACTATAAAATACAGAGTGTTTCACTACAATAACAAAAAATACTAAAATTTTCAAACTTAAACACCTATATGAACAAGTTTGTACATTTTTTAATTTTTACACGTATGCCAGTTAAAGTAACTCGACTAAGAACTTTGTGCAACATTCCAAAACCGCGAATTTTAAATTGGTGAAGCTGTCATTTTTGAAATGTGAGAATTTTTCTATACTTAATACTTAATTAAATATTTATTATTTCAGAATTAAAAATCTTCCTACATAAATAAATTTATTTTTCTGGCATAATTTATGTGACATTTAGTGTAAAGGGTATAGAAAAAATGTTGGAGGTATATTGTTTTTTCTTCTCTGTCATACAGAAAAGCTTATGGCCAAAGTTAAGATATTCCAACGAAAATTAAAATAATTATGTGTTACGTATTAGACGCCAGGATAATAAAATTAAGCTTCTTATAAGAAAATATAAGAAAGGATTAACACAAATATGTGATTATATAACTGAGACAAAAGATCAAAATATAAAAAAGTGGAAATAATCTGTTTCTATTTGTATAGAATATTGAGACCACTTTATAATGTATTAAAATATTTGTTTTTTTTTCACTCTACATTTTAGCTTATTCATTATTCAGTGGGCTCAGTGGCGTCGTGTGTGTAAAAACCGCACATATTTTAGGATTGACTCTGATCCACTGACCTTGCAGGATGAAAAGTGATGAAATTTATGGTTATTCTTCATGGGTGTGTAAACTAAACTGGTTCTTTATTATTAATGAAGAAAAAATTAACGGTTTCTCTTCTATTTTTATCTTATTTGCATTGTAACTGGATCCGTAAGTGAAGATCCGTTAACGTACTATTAAAAAAAGTTAAACTGATATTTACGCAAGTTATTTATTTTGAATATTCTTCCGTACTAGTATGAAAAAAAAAACAGTATAAAACAATTCGTTTTTAAAGATTTCGTGTTCTAGGTGTGTGGAAATTCTTCATTGCGTAATTGTAATTGGGAAAAATATAAAGTCTGCTCTAACTGACTCTAGCAGCTAAGTAAAAAAATTAGCCGAAAGTTCTTTGAAAAATAGTGAAATTAAATCTTGCGATTTTTTTTGTAATAATGTGTATAAAGTGAACAAACTATGAATGCATTCATAAACCACAAGTATAGACTCATAATGTTTTGCACATTTGGTGATAACGTTGTTGTACAATTTTGTTTTTTTTTTTTTTTAAATCTGGAAGTCTAGTATAAAAAATTAAGACGAATTCATAAACCACAAGTATAGGAGTGTCGTATTTCATAAAATTTAGATAACATTTGCTATTATAAAATTTCAAACTGACGGCATTCTATTGTTAGTGGAGATGATCAAACAATCGGTCCATAGTTTCGAAAATTATCTGTCTAATTAAAATCCACACAGGCGACAGACAGACAGACAGACAGACAGAAAAGGGAATCCTACTTTTTTGTACTCTAGGGGTCATGAAACGTAGAGAATTAAATTAGCCATTCCTCCGATTGACTCTATTAAAGTAACTATAAAAGTGGCAGTCTGTTGATGATTAACATTCCAAAAATTAGTTAACGCACATAATATAAAACCTGAGTAACTTCTTCATTTGGTATGTAGCTACATTTATCGTCTAAATGAAGACACTAAACATTAATACCTAACAACGTGCAATTAAGGAAACTTAAACGTGTTTAATCAATAATAGTTCAACATAATAGACGACAATTAATCACACTGTATTTAATTACACTTCATTAATTAATACATGTAACTTCTTAATTATTTAATTAATTGTTAGTGCTAGTAAACTATACTGCACTGGTTAATAACTAATTAGATACATAAATTACTAATTACAAATTACTGTTAAATAGCGTCACTAATTTAAGTGGCAGTTTTTGATTAAACCTTACTCGTAAAAATTCTAATAACTTTATAACATCTAAAAACTTTTGATGATTCCATGGCGACCAAAATTTATTTTAAATTCGCTATTCTAATATTAATTAATTTGAATCGTGGCTTTCTATTTCGGTTTTTGACATCTTCGATTTGTTGATATAGGTCTATCCAAAGAAATGAAAAATATTTCCATAGCTTAACCTAATCTGAAAATTTTTTGATCACCCGTTAAATGAAAGAGTGGTCATTCTTCATTAATAATAATTTATCAAACTTGTTTCGAGAAAACACAGTCCTCAGAATTTTGCGAAAACTCGATCGACCGTTTAGGTCATCGTTAAAATAGTTTATTAAAATTTTTGTATGACCTCATCAACGAAATGTGTAAATACCCAGTAATATTAATGTTTGTGATTTTTTTGCCAGGTTGGCAACATATTCAAAATTTTATGGCATACCTGATGTCAATTTGAAATTTTGCACATAAATGAGTTCAGTAGTTGCCATGTTATCACTGGTTTTCTAGACGCGTTCGTATCAAAATTGACAACAACTGTGAACTGACATTCTAACATTGCTGCCAATAATTCAGAAATGCCAACCCAAAAATTTGCTATAAAATCACTAATGGCCACCCGGTATATAAATAAATTTTGTTTTGTTTCCTGAACTAGTATTAGCGACTTACCAAAATGTTTAAGAAGCTATAACCAATAATTATCAAATTTTAATGTGACCATTTTTTTTGACCAGTCGAATAACGGGACATTTTTCACTATCAATTTATAACCATTTATATAATATTCTTAAATAATACATACTTAAACTTTGGAGTAAAAAATTTCGTAATAAGAATAAGTTACAGGACTATGGGCTGACGAAAATGAGAAATCTGTATTTTCATACTTTGTAACCTGTGAAACTTACGTGAAAGGACATCGCTTGGTAGTTCTAAAATATTAAAAGTGAAATTTATAACATTAATAAGCAAATTTTCTCAAAAAGAGTAAATTTGCCCACATTATTATTGTGTGTAAATTATTGTGTTCTAGTAGATAAATACCAAATTTGTTTTTATTTTAGATGTAATATTCTAAGTTACTAAAGGGTCTTATGAAAGGAAAACACTTTGGGAAAAATAGCTGTCAATTGACCTCTGATTATTCAGCTAAACAGCGTGGAAAACCTCCAATATCGTTAGAGATTTTCAGACTCAAACTTACTTAAAAGCGTAGATAATTCTACATACACCTGTGTAATAGACAAACTACCTTTCACTGCTGTAAAAATGAAACCGCTTATATTCATCAG